CCCCCCCCCCCCCCCCCCCCCCCACCTCTTCCCATGCCCATCACCAGTCCATTAAATATACATTCTAAGTAATTATGGGATTTTCTTTCTACAATTTCTTTCTTCCTACAGCAGTAATCTACTTATTCTAATTCTTATGAAATATACCCTCAAATGTCGCCACTGTCTATTGGGCTGTCCACTAGCCTAGTATCCCTGTTCATTTCAGCTAGCTCAGTTTTCATGTCCACGCAGTCCTTATTTAAGTTTAAAGTTATCGTCATCAGCAGTCACTTGCTAACGAGTATGATTGTTAACGTTGGAAGTTCTGTATCACTGATCATGGGTTCTGTGGGTCCTTGATGGTGACCCTGATCCTTAGCCAAATCTTTTCCCTTTCAAACTGGATGGAAATTGAGGTTGCTGCTTCCGTGCGGTGCCTAAACTTCGAGGTCATTATTAATCCAGTTACATTACACAATACTGGGTCTCCTGCTCAGTTTCGAAACATGCTGCTCCAGGAAACTATCTTGAAAGCCATCAAGAATTCATCCACACTGCCATTGTCAATCTGCTTTTTCCAGTTTATATCTGGATTAAAGTCAGCAATGATTATTGTCATACCTTCATCAAAGATACCCGACATTTCTTCTTGAATGCTTTGACCCTCCTTTTTGGTTACCTTTAACCGCCTGTAGACAACTAGTGACTTATGTGCCCTACTACTCTTCACATCCACCCAAACTGATCCTGCATCCTTATCTGCTGAGTCAAATTTATATCTATTTCTTGCGTACCATCTTTGATTAACAGTGCTCGACCTCCATCTTTATTGAGCTTCCTATTTTTCTTGATTATCAGGACCCAATCCTTGTTATCCTGAAGCAGTAATGGTTATCAGATCGTACACACATACTTCGTGTGCTATACATTAAGTTGTTTGGTCTGAATGATACATGCATTTGTCTTTTGATAACACAGCATGGAGCTGGAGGAACACAGCAGGCCAGGCAGCATCAGAGGAGCAGGAAAGCTGACCTTTTGGGTCGGGACTCTTCAGAACTGGGGAAGGGGAAGGGAGCTCCAACAAACGACAACACCTTCCAGTCGTGAATCACTTCAACTTCCCCTCCCACTCCCTGGACGACACATCCATCCTGGACCTCCTCCAGTGTCACAACGACGCCACCCAGAAACTGGAGTAGCCGCACCTCCTATTCTGCCTTGGGAGCCTACAACTCAATGGTCTCAATGTGGACTTTACTAGTTTCTAAATCTCCGCACCCCCGGCCTCATCCCATAACCAACCCTCCCTCTCATCCCCGCCTCCTTGATCTTCCACAACCTGTCCATCTTCTCTCCCACCTATCTGTTCCTCCTGCCTCACTGACCACTCCCCACCACCGCCTACCTGCACTCGCCTATCACCATCCCACCTACCATCCCCAGCCCCACCCCTCCTCTCTGTACTTATTTCAGAGCTCCCTTCCCCCTCCCCCATATCTGAAGAAGGGTCCCGACCCAAAATGTCAACTTTCCTGCTCTGATGCTGCCTGGCCTGCTGTGTTCCTCCAGCTCCACACTGTTTTCCTGCCATTAATTAATTTCCTGCCTTTTCCTGCCATTCTCTTACCCTCATTTACCACATTACTATTTTGCTTAGAGCAGATGTCTTGAACTTGAGCACTGGGCAGC